TCCAGCCAACTGGTTTCCGTACACAGAAGGTTGGAGCAGCATGTGGACTGATGCTCGGACGAATGAGCTTCTTCTTCACCATGTCTACCACCCAACGCACAATCTCGCGTTGCTGCTCTGGCGATTGACGCCACTGTTGCCGATACATTGCGAGATTCGGATCCTTCACGTCAATCCTATGCTCAATCTCGCGTTTCTCAGGTAAACCTTCCGGGAGTTCAGGACGGAACACATTGTCCATATACTCCATGAGTAACTGGTACGCTGGATTCTCCTTGAAGCTATCCCAGTCCGTATCCGGAAACCGTTGTGCTTTCGCACTTCCGACGTTGTCGGGTTGATCTTGCCGTTGCAGTGAGCGAGCAACTTGCTTTATCGTTACGTTCGTCAGAACCAACATAAAGTCAGGTTGATCGATCGACTTGGTCTTGATTCTCAGGAACTATCGTAGTTTCTTGCGAGTCATGAACTTCGTCTGGACACCCTCCTCGTCAACGACACCCATCGTGAACATCTTTTCCACGACAGTGCCTCTGCCCCCGGTACTGCTGCTATCTCCAGCCTCTCTTACAGTACCGTCGCGTTTCGACAAATCCAAGTTGTCCTTCACCGCCGAACCCTTGCCGGCTGACGCGTCTCCTGGTTGTTCGCAAACAACTCTTGGGCTCTCTTTCTGCGTTGCGTCGCAAACAGTTTCAACCGCGGACTTCACATCCGTTTCTAGAGCGGCACCTCGACATGAATCGGGTCTTTTCGCCGATAGGCCTTTCGCCTCGACAGATCTCCGAAGCCCGGAGGCAATCACCGGTCCGCCTTCCTCGATCGATCCACAGGTCTTCCCGGTTTGTTTCCAATGCAGTCTTCACTTGCGTTCCTTCGATACGTCGACATCTCCAGTCAATCTGCGGCTGCGTATCCTCGATAAATGGGATTCCAAGGATGCAGTCGAATTCGTCGCGTATGGCGTAGACGACAGCAATACACTTATTCGCCTCGTCCAACCCAGACACCATGATTTCGAGGGGAAGTACCTCCAGTTCCGTCTCGACAATCTGATTGTCTCCAAGTTTCACACGAATGCTCTTATCATTGAACTTCGTGGCCTTGAGTCGATGTTTCTCGACCCGCTGTCTGGACACGTAGATTGTGGTTGCTCCACAGTCCAACAGCATTCTTTGGGTCGAAATGGTCGCGCCACAAACGGTGATTTCCCCCTCGATGGAGAACAGTAGGCGCGACTTGTAGACGAGAGGGTTTTCGCACAGAACGTTAAGGCTGATATTCTCAAACTTAA